GACTTATAATGTTAAGTGAACATGGGTAGGATCTGGCTTGGGACTAATAACATTGAAGTGCACATGGGTAGGATCTGCCTTGGGACTTATAATGTTGATGTGCACATGGGTAGGATCTGGCTTGGGACTTATAATGTTAAGTGAACATGGGTAGGATCTGGCTTGGGACTAATAACGTTGAAGTGCACATGGGTAGGATCTGCCTTGGGACTTATAATGTTGATGTGCACATGGGTAGGATCAGGCTTGGGACTAATAACGTTGAAGTGCACGTGGGTAGGATCTGCCTTGGGACTTATAATGTTGATGTGCACATGGGTAGGATCAGGCTTGGGACTAATAACGTTGAAGTGCACGTGGGTAGGATCTGCCTTGGGACTTATAATGTTGATGTGCACATGGGTAGGATCTGCCTTGGGACTTATAATGTTGATGTGAACATGGGTAGGATCTGGCTTGGGACTAATAATGTTGATGTGAACATGGGTAGGATCTGCCTTGGGACTTATAATGTTGATGTGCACATGGGTAGGATCAGGCTTGGGACTAATAACGTTGAAGTGCACGTGGGTAGGATCTGCCTTGGGACTTATAATGTTGATGTGAACATGGGTAGGATCAGGCTTGGGACTAATAATGTTGATGTGAACATGGGTAGGATCTGGCTTGGGACTAATAATGTTGAAGTGAACATGGGTAGGATCTGGCTTGGGACTAATAATGTTGAAGTGAACATGGGTAGGATCTGGCTTGGGACTAATAATGTTGATGTGAACATGGGTAGGATCTGGCTTGGGACTAATATTGCCCAATGTCCAAACTATTTCAGGTATTGGGAATTTGGGTTCCAAAGAAAAGTAACTTGAAAGAGGACTTCTCACATCATCTAATGTGATAACTTGAAAGAGGACTTCTCACATCATCTAATGTGATAACTTGAAAGAGGACTTCTCACATCATCTAATGTGATAACTTGAAAGAGGACTTCTCACATCATCTAATGTGATAACTTGAAAGAGGACTTCTCACATCATCTAATGTGATAAAAGTAACACCAGTCAGAAGTCCAAATTATGTGTGTAGTGACAACTTTTAGCTCCTGAATGTAAAATATGAGGGGTACGTTTATACTCCTGAGACACCAAGTATTTCAGTATTATAGTATGGTGTATTTATCCTTTTGCAATAAGTTTTGTGAATGTTGTTTTGAATGGTAGTGTCAGTCATGTTTCACGGGCAGATTTTACAGACATCTTTTTTCTTACCTAGCAGCCACCACGTATCAAAGTCATGCAGCAACCTGGACAGCTTATGAAGCTTGGACTTGAGTTGAATACCAAGAACAAACAGTTTGTGATATTGTTTATGTTTCTGACAGACTACCTGGTTGGTGGTTTGTAGAAAATAAACTTGTGAGTGTTTGACAGTTATGTACAGAGCTCAGGAGATGAAGGTTTCTATCCATTCGTTGTGATCCATAGGTCATGTTGGTTCTACAGTTTGGGTATTTCGTAAAAGTAAATATTTGATATCTTTATTACTCTTAGTTAACTAAACTGTACACTAGTTAAAAACAAAGTGACACAGCTCGAAGAGCATGACAAGCATTCTTGAAATAGGTTTGATTATTGTTTTATTCTGAATAATTCATTTTTAAGGGCCTGCTCGTACACAATTCGGGCTCTTATTTTGTAGTTATGTTTATCACATGTGCACCACTTGTGCTGTTTGATACTTGAAGTGGAACTCCTTGTGTTATTTGCTGTAATGCTCTATTGATAGTTCTAAAATAAGTTGCACAAGACACACCATTTAAAAATTATTAACTCATACAGATTCAACTTAATAGTAATTTACCAGTGAACTATGGGTGAATGTGGCGAACAACAGCCAGAATCAGGAAAACTTCAAAAATAAAACAATTATCAAACCCGAGGTAGGACCATTTGGTTATTACCATGTTCTTTTAACTCTGAATACCAATACAGATTCAACTTAATAGGAATTTACCAGTGAACTATGGGTGAATGTGGCGAACAACAGCCAGAATCAGGAAAACTTCAAAA